TAATACAAAAGTGTAGGTATTTATTCAAAATACACTCATTGTCAATCAGCTTATTCACTAACACATGAGTACATACCTAAATGGAATATTTTATTCTACTATATATATGTAATATTATTTACAAAAAAAAATGTAAGCGACATGTCAATTTGACAAGCAATTGTTTTCATGGTTTGTTGCTGCATTTTTGTGAATACATAGCAAATAGTATAGAGATAAGGTGTGAACTTTTGATTGAAAAAAGAAAATTATTTGGTTAAACTATGAACTTGCATTGGCTAAAACGATCGAGATACATGTTGATATTGTCACATCTGCATCTACTTTTATATTAGTACTAGCTGACTGAAACCAATACTTGAAACATGGTTTGTTTCATCAAATAGAGTGGTCTTAAGAATTAAAAAAGATTTTGATCAAAAAAGTTCTTTAAAAGTGTTTCTCAAGATTTCAATTTTCCTTAAACTGTTTGATTACAATAAACCTAAATAGCATTGTTAAAGGTTGTGAAATTTTTCATAACAGTATTTAAGCCCATTGACAAAAATGAGCTAAGTGACGTCGATAATGGTCATTGCTAAAAAGATTCAGTAGTCTTCTAAAATAATTTCCAGGCCCTTTATATGAATTTACATTATGTAGTCATCAGAATACTTAATCAAGTGTGACATTTATGCGAAGTAATCTCATTTCATGCATTAATCAATAGATAATGACTAACAGTAATTAGAAACAATATAATCATAAGCAATATCTATTTTAAAGTTTTTCTGATATACGGTAAATGAAATTTTACTATGTTTAATATTCAATAATTTTAATCAAATTATTTTCTCTTTTACAAAAGTTAATGTTTAGTTTATTAAAATTCCGTTAAAGTACTTTTTTTGTTGGAAAATCACTTCATCATGACTCAGTGATCTTATCTTTTAAACTAAGCTTTTATTCTATGAATGTGGGAAGCCACTGTTGAACAAGAGACAAACTGTATAGTACGAAAGTACATAGATGAATTGATTGTATAAACTTATAATATGAAGAGTTGACAAATGAATCAAAGTTTTAGTTAATATATTTGTTGTGTAAGTTTTGATGGTGATTTACTTACAACCATGAATATATTTTAATACTTATTTGCAAACTCCAGAAATTTCATTATATCTCTAAGACTAGAATAATGTTCTCTGGTGGGTTGTTGTCTAGTAAAAAGTCTACACGAATTCAAAACGTCTAGTTAAATTTTGCCAGATTGCATCTTTTGCAGAGTAGGTGACATGTTCGACCACTAGTAAAATGATGAATATACTAAGCAGCAGTTCACTCTGTTGTACATTATAACTGTGAAAGATATTTCTCAAAATAGAGTATAGTTGTAGGTTACTGGTTTTTAAACATAAATGCCTTTGAAGCATTGTCTGTGTATTCTGAGATTAATGAGTGAGCGGTGATGAGGCTAGACATAAAGCATTAAGTAAGAATGACAAATCAATCAATTAAATAGTGAACCTTGGTTGAATGAGGTGATTGAGACATGTATTACGTGTACTCGACAACCGCCAACATCGACGCACGATGATGGATGATGTGATAGTGTATTGAAATACTAGAAGTGATTAAATCAAGACGTAGCATCAGTCACTGACTTTTGGACTACGTCGTGTAAGTAATTGAAAACTGCCTGGTTAAAAACGACGTGACTGTTGTAACGAGTGTTTGAGATATTGGGTGACATCGATCAGAACCATCATATACAGCAGAACATGATCATTTACTCTTTGTTTTACCTTAGATCCTAAACTCCTTAATTATCTCAGGAAATATTTTATAAAAATACATATTTTCTTTAAGAGTCAAACATTCTGTCTCCAATTTTTTCAACCACTATTACACTCAATAACAATCGGGTCATAGAGTTGATTTCAACGGCACAAAAATCCTTCAAAAATGTTTTAACTCTCATAAAGAAAGACTAGCAGTTGAAGCTCTACACATATGGGCAAATCCAAACAGTAATAATAAGAGAGATGGCAACGAATAATTAATAAGTAAACCTGAACTCCTTATTCCTTTTTTATCTATCTCTTATTATCTGAATAACAACAATTACATTGAACGGTTCGAATCAGTTGTCTTATCTGAATATGTTAAACAATTAACTGGAACAATAAAAATAACACAGACATACATTTACAAATACATTCTTGCTCTTTGAATTCATTCCTTTATTTTGTTTATTTAGCTTCATTTGATTAATATCATATATAAAAATTGTGTTTTCCTAAAAATTCACCGACCAGAGGCAATATATATTGAATGAAATTTCTTCGCACACCACCTAAGTATATATACAATTTGCTGTCTTAACACCTTTCGTTTCACACCACAAGTCTCTTGAACCCTAAAGCAAATACCTACTTTAAGTATTGTTAACGTTGATTGGATGACCTATTTAATATACTATGAACCGAAGAACTATGTACCTATTTATATTCAATAATTTTGATATTTGATTACATTTCTTTGAAAAAGCTTGAATCATTTGCTAAGCAAAATGTTGAATTTACTTTAAATTCATTCACTGGAATTCTACAAATACGTTCTTTCTCATTAATCTAAAAATTAATATTGTTATTACCTATACTGTACTGATATTTCGCTTGCTAATGTGGTGTGATAACTTGAATTAATGCATATATTGGCCAAATACTGTGTTGCGTAAGACTGATTGACTTTAGAACCGTTAAAACAAGCTCAGAAAAACTGGAAACAATAAATCGTTCGACCGCGTGCTGTTTTACGATAGCAGATGAAACAAGTATAAAAAGGTAAACCCATAATTAGTTTTCTAAGGATTAAACAAGATTTCAAAACAAGGTATGGTGTTATAGTAGAATTTAGCAGACGTTCCACAAATTTTATTTAATAAAACTATTGTCAAAAAATGGCGCTTAAAACCTGTTTAGTAATACATTTACACTTCATCAATCTAAAACAGTGCAACTGCTCAAATAATTAAGTTACAAAGAAAATGGTTATGACAGTACGTTTTAAAGATTATAACGAGTATTTGAGCGATATTTCAGTTGTTACGGTTGGAAAGAATGATGCAGAAATTTAATATCACATTTTCTTCACAAGACTTATTAATGTTATTATGATGTCCAAAAACCAATCATTGGTTATCGAAACATGAGCTAAATAACTTAGAATTAGAACATTATTGTGATGAACATGATTAAAATGTATCAGAAAACAAAACTTTTGCATTATCACGTTTCAAAAACTGGCCTTAAAAGTTGTGCATATTAATGTCCTTCCGAACGGTGGAAAATAGTAATTAAATGCATATTTTTGTTGTAAAACGGTTTTCACCTAAGCTGCCAAACTCTACATATATTTAATAAGATGAAGTCAACAAGTCGTAAAACAGAAATGTAAAAACAATTGTTTTAGCAGCACTGAGAAATTAGATGGAATAAAATCTCAAAATGGATTAAACTGGTTGATAAAAAGTTAGTGATAGTAATGCGTCCAACGTAAAAACTTTCATAAATGATTGGAGCGCCTGAGTCAATACAGACTACTTCAAACCATATGACAGAATCTAAAACGATTTATTATGGTTATCTCCTAGACCGTGTAACAGAATTAGAGGATGCAGATCAACACTCGTTGACTTTACTTACTGAAATAAATTCTAACCTTCATTGTGCTAGCCGCCATGTTACATAGAACAGATCATGAATGAGCTCATGTTGAAGTTTCACATTTACACTGTTGAATGCCAGCTCAGTGGTCTAGAGTTTAGGCGCTCGCGAGAAAGCTCAAAGATCCTGGGTTTGAATCCCGCGTGTGAGATCGTAGATGCACACTGCTGAGCCGTCGCATACTGGAATCAGACTTCATTCAGTGCTTCCAGATTTTTCTCAGTAGTATAGCTTTAATTGGCTCGTGAACTCAACTATTAAATATTTAACTCACATTAGCCAGTCAAGATTGACAACTTCCTTAGCCAATGCCCCAACTTTGTATAAACACGATAACAGTCAAATTAAACAGGTGGTTATACTACGCAAAAGCAACTCTTCAATTTTATATTCGTTACTTATCCACATTTTCTCTTATAACCGCATTTTACGGTAGAAAGTAACCCAATACATGCTTTTTGAAGTACTTACATTCTGTGGTATACAGTAAGTGAACATTCTATTTGAGCTTATACCCTAATCGCTGGAAACGCTACTGAGACTTAGTTACTTTCTTCAACCACAAACAGTAGAAAACGAGACTTCGGCCTAAAATCTGGTAGTTTTACTTTGATATCTTACTGCTTGACATGGTAAGACCTCGTACGACAATTGCATAAGTCCATACAGCTCTTTCGAGTTGCCTAGTAAAAAGAACGAGAACACCATGTCACGTCGTCAATCCTAATTGGTGAAAAGAAAGTTATTCCCTAATATTCTACCATGATTATGTCTAATATCTATGTCTAAGCTCTTTTTGGCTTCACATGCAACTTCATTAAATGTCTTTGAACTGTCCCAGAAGTCGCAATGCCCATTTACGTGTAAATGTACGACAGAATAAAGTTTTAGTATGAAGTACAAAAAATTTATAGATTTTCCACATAGGTCTCAAGAAACAATTATATTGCAGCAGAATAATTGGTACTCAAAGCTCGAGTTCCGAACATAATGCTATGATAATTAAAATATCTACCGAGAGATGAAAAGTCGAAGGACGTCCAGGATAATAAAAAACAATATGCTACAAATTCGTCGTAAGACATAAAGTAAAATTGTGCCTTACAACAAAAGCGCATAATTGCCTTGAAAATCCTCAAAATCCGGAGATTGTAATTAATTACAATCTAATTCAATTGAATTAGTTTATCAACTCGCCTGGAGTACAAAACGTTTTTGCATTTTGAAAATGTTCTTTAAGCCGTCAACATGAGTCATTAAACGAGTATATTTGGGACTTGAGTATGAACTTACCAATATTAACGCCATTTACTTCTACTACGTAATCACCATCTCTAAGACCAGCCGCAAATGCAGGAGATTGTTGATCGACCTCACTTATATAGTGTCCGACCTTGCCCTTCGTCGCCTGTAGGCTAAATCCATAACCTGAATAATTTTCCCACTTCTGAAGAGTGCATAGCCGAGCATAATACTTTCTAGGCATTTTGGAAACGTCATATAACGCGCTATTGACACTGACACACACTGAAATTATTCACAATTGTTTAAAACAAAACGTCCTTCTCAAACCATAAAAACTTCACCAGGCACTCGACTGCGAAGTTTTACTGATAAATAAATAACGTAACTCACGCATGAGGTGTTTTTCAACCATATATAACCAATAACAACTAACATCCAAATTTAGCACTCCATTCTAGCACTTTGTTTCAAGAGATCCAAATCAATGTGTTGAAAGTATAACTTTAGTACTCATGAATATTTAATGAACACACCTCGCTCGATTTCAGTGGTGGTAGATGCACTTATGATTTCTTATTTCATGTTTTGCAGTACGGCATATAAGGTTACATTGAAAATTACGACGACATTCATCAAAGCTGAAAACTAATATGAAAAACTTATTATATTTATGCACCGCAAAAATGATCTGCCTTTAATGGTAACCTACACTTTGAGCTATAGTGGATTCTACCACTAGTTTTCAAGACTTTGGATTCTTTAGTGCTTTGAAATTTAATTTGACCTTTGCTGCTGGTAGTTGTCCCTAGGTTTACATTGATAAAAATTTTCATTCAGATCTTGAGACAAAAAAGTTGTAGAATTAGGTTTTATTGTAAGTTCATTAATTTTTCAAAATTCACTATAGTACAATAAGAAAGTACAGTCCTTATTAAGGTAGTAAATAAATGCTTGCATTATGATTTTTCGACTTTATCAAGAGAAATTTGTTAGTTCTGAAACACCCAATCGAAATTGTCTCAGTCTCTTTATCTTTATCATCAATGAAGTGCTGTGCAGACCTTCAAAAAAATTAATAAATGCTCGACTTACGACCTCATTGAGCTGCTTTATTAAGAAGACTTCTTCACAGACTTTTTCAAAGAAACTACACACCACAAAATAGGTGGTGCAGTACTTCCCAATTATTCAGAAGTTAACAGAAGATCGCTTTTTACGTTCATCTGGTTAACACTATTTCCCTGGAAAGTAGACATTCAAAGGAACGAAGCAAGTAGAACAACCCTATTTTTGTGGCCTGAAAAGAAATATCGATGTCACTGGCCCTAAGACGAACTAATAGTCAGGTAGGTAAGCTCACATTGCAATTGTTCATTATTGTACGTTTATTACTAAATATGACTCCTCAATCTTCATATCTGAAACCACAAAGAGAGTCATTTTTTCAATTTGTGCTCATACAAACCTCTGGAATAAACGGTCTGAACTATGGCACATCTGCTGGAATTTATTAATTATCACAGATTTAGCTATTTAACCAGACTCCTCAAATCTATTTGTTCTATTTTACCGAAAGAACTGTATGAATAGCTATATCCCTCACATAATTCAATGGTATTAAAAGTCCATTTACTTTTGTTCGTTGATTGTTAACACTGAGGAAGCCATTCATTTACTTTTTAACTCAACAGCTTATTTCTGAAATTTCCATTCCTAATCTAAGACACAGGTTAAGCATCTTATTGAAGACTTAACTGAGATCTATGGAAGTTGCAAATTCTGAAATATTTTCATTTTCCTATGCAGTTGCATCTCTGCCTGGCGTGAGGGGACTAGTCATATATAGAAGGCCGTTCCCATGTTCCTAAGAGATTTACGCATGTGTCATGCATCTCCTTGACTAATACAATACTCTTATAAACCAGACACAGATTTTGAGGACCAAACGTTTTGCAATTTTTCACTAAATTTGAAAGCTAGACCTTTCAAACATCGTTGTAATTCACTGGGAATTATGTCAGACACTTAATTGAATATGATGATGTCACAGGTATTCAGTGTTTGACAACGCTTCTACCAGTAACACCTTCTAATATATTTCGTTCCCGCCCAGAGAAATCAAAAGACAGAGTCGAGGAGATCGGAAGAGTATATTTGGCGATGACCAATATATCGGAATTCTCTGATCTAATCTGGCTAGCGATTGCGGTTGATGTTGAGCACGGCGTTACCACACGTGATCTGGTGCGGATGCCTGACCGAGCGCCTTCAGCTAGGTGAGTCCACTAAAATATATGGTCAGCATCCAATGTCGAAAACTTAGTGCTATTTATTTTGGGGATTTATTTACCGCTACAAATAACCACGTCATACTCTACAAAAGATCTGGTGCTCATCCAGTGAAATCAAACGTCAAAAGCAGGGATGTTCATAAACGTATTTGTTAGTCTGTCAATATATCAAGAAGTGACTGAAATTAACTGGCTAGTTGTTGCAGGAGAAGTTGAGCACGGCGTACTCACTCGTGGCCTGGTGCGGATGCGTGACTGAAAGCCTTCAGCTAATGCGAGTCCATTAAAACCAATGTGGTCAGCATCAAATTTCGAACACTAAAAAAGCTATAGACTTGGAAGGTTTATTTACATTTAGAAATCAATTAGATACAAAATGTTATCATTAACATCACATTTTGTTTCTCCCTTTCGAATTTTCGAAATCTAGGCTACAAGAAAACGTGCACTGTACGAACTACTTATGCTTCCCACATATATCATTGACCATCAAACTGTCAGAAGTTAATGCTTTAGTCAATAACCATTACCATTACTTACCTTCTTTTAAAGTGTAAGTGAATGCTATGAAGCAACTCTATCGTCAATTTTTTGTTCCCTTCCATGTATTTTCTCAGACTTCCCAATCAACGAACAAAGGGAAAATAAAGGCGAACAAAGGGGATATTAAGAGGAAAATGCGTTGAAAAATGAAGGGGAAACGCTCTAAAATTTCCGCTTTTTCGCCTGTCCGGGGGAAATAATGCGGACTCCCCCGTTTTTGTCGCTCTGTTGCTCAAATGTCGCCGAATCATCTACTTTTCCTCCAACTTTCAAAGCACTCTTGTCATAACCTCAAAAATCTTCTATGTTCGCCTTTATCCCCACAACGAACCACAATAAGACTGCAATCCACGGGAAAAGTGGTATATGTTTAAATAAATTTATTGAAAAGGAAGACGTATTATCATACAACATTATAGCAGAAGCTTGAGCATCAGTCGTTATGCATTTTCACTATAATCGCCAATTCATTGTTATTTGAAAAGATCTGAAAAGGAAGAAACAGGTGATGTATTATTAATAAGGCATGTGTATTTAATTGCAAGTTCACTGAAAATCAAACACACTTTCTCAACACTTAAATAGTTTCCCATGTAAGAAAGTAAGTTCATTTTTCAAAATAACGTTTATTGAAAATATGTAGAACATAAAAAACATTTCACGGATTACTTTCTTTGGCCACGCCTGTTCGGATATTGAGAATAAAAATAATATTGTGAATTCTGAAATGTAAAGAACGAAAGAAGTTACAAAGATATCTGAATGACATGCTTTGGCATAGTCAGATACTTGAAGCTTCACTTACGGTTATGTTCGTTAACACTGTGGTCTGTAACTGCTGAGCAGTAGAGAAGTTATCACTTTAAACTAGCACATACCTGTTCTTGTTTCCTTCTATTATTCTTTATCAATTAGTCTCTGACGTCGCGATGTCGTACAGTTTCTCAAGGTTTTTTTCGTTGACAGATGATGACAAAAAGCTATTGGTTAATGCACCTGAAGTTTAAATAATAGATATAGGTTACTTCGTATGCAGCCGTAAAACCGGCATTTCTGATGTGCTCGTTTTGAAGAAGTTCCAAATAGCGTAAAATTACTGGAAACCTCAGGTGTCATGAGGTACGACAAAACATATCGCATTGAGGTTTTAGGATCATTATCCATTAACCTCGTTACCATGGCCATCTGTAATACGAACAAATTATAAAATTAATGTTGTTGACTTACAAATCTGTCTCTGGTTTCTTTCTGCTGCGAACCAGTGTTCAAAATCTGCAGTTCCTCTTCAGATGACAAAGGGAACTGCTGACTTGATAGTCCGCAATCGAATTGATGCGGATGTTTGTGTTCAATTAACTTCGCTAGTAGCCGCTTTACATTTGTACTCAAGTTAGTAATAGCTGACGACATGTTCTGCATGATTGTATATAACCTATCAAATCTGATAAACTTCACTTGATCGTACAGGGGACTTCCCCTATATCAGTGACTAAACCAGGCTGTCCGTTTACTACTACAACATTATCAGGCTTAAATGAAGTTATTTTACTATTCTTAAATATAATTACTTGTTTATCGGAGACCTGCTTAGCGGTTATTGGGGCAGTTTTAGTTAAACAGCTAACTTGAAGCCTATCACAGAAGGACGTCTTCTCAACATAACGCCTAGCTGCTTGCTTTGCAACAGCATACCTACTACGCACAGAGTTTTTTAGTTGTCTCATGTAAGACTCGAATGGAAAGGCTGAAAACCTATCTAAAGGTCCATTTGCACGAACGTCTTCAGGAAGGTGCTGTAACAAATGCACATTGTAAATCAAGTTTTCAGACCCATAACACCATTCGTATTCCTTAAAGAACGTTTCCTAAGTCCATTGCAATTGCTACTCTCCAAACTACCTTTACAGGCAAATTACTTCCAAATTAAATCTCAACATACTAGAGGATGAGGATCAAGCATTAACAACTAGTCATTACAAATAAATGGTGTATGAATTTATCTGGAGTCTTCCAATTTGTTTATCCGTATATTTTTCATGGGTATTTAGTCGATGGATAGACAGGAATCTTCTTCGAAACCGTCTTCAAGTCTCAGGACTGAACTAGATGTTCCCTCGGCAGATACTTGTTCGACTGTTTCCTGTGGATATAACCTGCGGCCATCAGGAAGTGTATCGTCGATTGCCTCACCATTCACTGCAACTAAAAGTGAGTTGGTGACTAAGTAAGTGTGATTTCTGAGGTCGGAAGAGATTTACTGTTTGTTAGAAACTACTTAGTCGGGAGTATAGCTGGAGGTGCTGGCTCTTTATTGGGAATAAGGGAACTAAACAAGATAATTCCAGGTAGTAACATAGATATCCAAGTTGTTACGTGGAATATGTTATCCATGAAGTCTCAGGTAACA